TGTGGTTGATTCCTCAAGATGCTCCCAGAATTAATTTCTCCACTTCTGTTGCTGTGTGGGTCCCTCTGCTCACAACTTTGCCCTCGTTCCTTTCTAATTTTCCTTCCTCTGCAATTTTTCACTCACATGAAATGAACCTGCCAAGTGTTTTGTGGCACCTGGCCCTCAAAACTTCACAATTTTAGTGCAGAAGCATCTAAGAAAAAAAAAATTTTTGTTGATCGTTGGGTAAAATTTACACCTGCTGATGGATGATACTGCCTGATCCATCAGGCTCTATTTTCACCTTAACTTTTTAAAGAAATAACCAATGGATTTTAACAAAATATTCTTATTCAGACTATTTTTCTTAAAATTAAGTGTTCCTGTTTAGCATTCAGAGAGTGATCTTGCTGTTGTTCAGGCAAAACCTGCAACCTGGCCCATATTCTGTGTGCATAAGGAACTCCAAATTTGATCCCCATGTTACAATATTCCGATACCAAAAGTATTTGCTGATCTTTTATTAAGTACTCTACCACGATTATTTTATATATTATTTCTTTCACGAGACAGCATCTGCTCGGTTGTGCTAATCTTTGAATCACATCAAACAYACAGGTATGAAAACACAGTTCAACAATTTGCAGAGCTATTTCCACTCAGCATTTCATGTTGGAAATTACACTTGCTATTATCCCCGCGTTAAAATAGAAACAAAAAGTGACGGGTGAAATGATTTTAATGAAGAGAATAGCTTTAAGTGCAATTACAGCTGTTAAGCTGTCAGGTCTGCATCCCACAAATCCTTAAACACACGCAGAACTTACACCCAATTAATGAAAATAAGTAGGTCAAGGTGCAGTTTGTGCCTGGAGAACGTGACAGCATCAKTCATTAAAGGAGAGATAAGTAGCGGGTGTGAATGGGGATCATTATGTGCAATATTTCCATAAAAKTCAGAGAAACCTGGCTTGCCACAATATTTTGGAACAGCAAAGATGGGGAGCATTACTGGCCTGATCATGCCAGTGCATTTGGTGCTTTCCACGTGGAAAATTTCACTGATTGTAATTAGTGGATTATCTTCAAATGAATCTGGTGCTTGGTGTTGGCAGGGGAAAGCCACGGTGCCCTCAGTGCTGGCATTCCCTGGCTCCTAAACCCCTGCAGAGGTTCTCCAGTGCAATCACCTGGGCATGCAGGGCATGGAATGACAGAATTGTTGGGATTGGAARGGATTTTYMAGGACCAACYCCTCTGCAGAGAGCARGGACAGCAACTGGATCAGGGAGGATGAGGGATTTAGGAAGGGAAGATGCCACCGCTCTGGTGCCATGGCAGTGCTGGTGTTGTATTGTATGTTAATTTATGCTAATTAGAGTTATCCTCCAGCCACAGCTGGAGACTGAGGCCAGATACACTTGTTAGCCCTGCTAATTCCCTGGCATGTTGGGAACTTTATTGGGAACAGAGGTGCAGSATGTGGTCCTGCATGAGAGCTGCATCCTGGACACGATGTGCCAAGGGAAGGGTAAAATCAGRGGCCASTCTGGGGTAAATTCCCACAAATTYTGAAYATTTGTGATTCAGRGCTTYTTGAGAYGGGATYRGGATTTTCRTGTYCTGCAGCTCTTGATGGAATTTATTRCCCTATTACAGACAGAGGACAAATCCTGCCCACCTTACTGAGTGCTGATTTTGTTGGGTSTGGCTGCATGTCCAGGACTGTCTTTGATGGTACCTAAGTGTAAAATCATAGAACAGACCCTCAAAAGATCATCTGYYCCAACTTTTCATGGSAAAGGGAGCCTAGATGARATTATCTGTGYAGGGRCAAGGCAGGGACATYCCTGCTGGGTTTGGTGCTGCTTTCTCCCACCTCCTTTAGTGCAAACCCCTTCAATTTTTGCTGCTTTCTCGCAGGTCTGGAGTTGTCTCACTGTGTCGGGACCAACTCRCTGGGCCCTGCTGGGCCTTGGAGATCAGGGGGGCCCTGCAAGATGAAAAGAGTCCGCACAGTCTTCAAACCAGAGCAGCTGGAGCGGCTGGAGCAGGAGTTCCTCAAGCAGCAGTACATGGTGGGCACAGAGAGAGTGGACCTGGCTGCAACCCTGCATCTCACAGAGACTCAGGTAAGGGATGTGGGAGCTGGGCTGGGGAACTGCTCATGGGGCTGCTCTGTGGTCACTGGTGGGAGGAGGACACAGTGCAAAGTGACCCATGGGACACCCTGCTGCAAGGTGACATGGAAGAGATGTGCCTGGAGTTTGGATGGTTTCTGGAAAAGATTTCTGAATCCATGAAGTGGAACAAAAAGCATTCAGGAGCACAATCCTGCTGTGCTTTAGAGTTTGAGCTGGGTTGGGTGATGTGTCTGCATTGTTACGATCCTCTGTAGACTGTGCTTCGAGTCTTCTTTTATGACACTGGATATAATTATTTTTCCTGCTCTTCCCAACCAGTTCCTGCTCCTCCCGCTGCTTGTTTGGCATGGAAAGAAGGAGCCAGGTGATCTTCCCCMATGGGATCTAAATTCAGCTGGGGAAAAGGGAGAGCAAAGCAAGGCCAGTTCTGGGAGGACAAAGGATAATTTTTGGGGGTCTCATCATGCAGCTGCAGTCCTGGGGATGGGTTCAGGGGCTCCTTAGGGAGCTGATTTCTTTACTTTGCTGGCCAGAACCTCCTCAGTGCAGCTGCATCCCCCTCTGCCCTGATCCTTTCTCTTCACCACTTTGCTGTCACCTCCTCTCGGTGTCATTCACTGTTCCCTGAGGGGAACATGCATGTCTCCATTCTAAGGAACTCTGTTTTTTGGGGATATCCACCTCGAAAGCATTGGAAAAGGGCTCCCAGAACCCTTGGATTAAGCTGTTTGACTTTCCCATGCAGGTGAAAGTCTGGTTCCAGAACCGGAGGATCAAGTGGAGGAAGCAGAGCATGGAGCAGAAGGCGGCGAAGCTGTCACAATTCAGGGTGATCCAACCTGCGAGTGCTGACTCCACGGACAGCAAGGACCATGAGGAGGACACCGTGGACGTGGAGCTCTGAACAGCCAAGGACACTGGGCTGCTTTTTGATGCCTGGGGACCTGTCTGTGCTGCTTTAGTCCAAGCAAGACTTTGTGCTCTGGATCTGAGAGCTGGAGCTACAGAACTAAACTGCAGCCGGCTGGGAGGAACTCTCCGAATTTCTTTGGCTGCTCTTTGGTAGCTGTGTGCTCTAATTCCTGGGGCTCCATCACCAGGCTGGCTGTACTGGATGATCTCCTGCTTGCTCTTGAAGCACCAGGACACACAAACAGTTTCCAGCAGAGAAGCTGGGGTGACAATCAGGGTGTCTCTGATGCTGGGGTGACAATC